TCTGTCTGTCTGTCTGTCTGTCTGTCTGTCTGTCTGTCTGTCTGTCTCTCTCTCTCTCTCTCTCTCTCTCTCTCTCTGAATATCTGTCTCTCTCTTTCTCTCTGTCTCTGTCTCTCTCTTCTGTCTGTCTCTCTCTCTCAGCTTGATCTGCTGGCAAGATACAATCTTACATGTGTGCTGAAAGCATTTTACTGGCTGCTAATTGCAGAGAGATGAAATACAAAATGTTGCTGATGACCTTTCAAGCCCTCTACAGGCTATGTCCAGTTCCCCGAAAAGAATGCCTCTTTCTATCTAATCCCCACCCCAACTGTTCAGATCCTCTCCAGAGATTTACTGACCACTGCCAGAAATTCATCTCGTGGAGCTCAGGACCAAACCTTCTTTGTTGTTGTCTGAGTTCTCTGGAATGTATTCCGTGCCACATGAAAGGATTCCCCAGGTGGCTTTTTAAAGAAAACCTTTAAAACACACCCTTTTCCATTGAGGAGAATACATGCAACTCAAGGTTGAACAAAAGTGAGCACCAAGAAGGGCTTTGAGGCGGTTTCATTGTCTTGAGGATAAAGTCACAAAACATGGATGAAGGAAAACAAATGCATGAAGAAGAAAGGGAAGATTGAGAAAGTTGTGGTTGGATGGAATTAATCAGATCATGAAGCACAAAAACATGAGAACGTTACAGAAGACAATCAATGAATAAAGAAGTATATGGTAGAGGTATATATGATGAAAACAAGGATAGAAATAAACAAAGAAGCATACTGAAGAGCAAATAATGTAATTATAGCTACGTTCCCTTTTCTTACCTAATGCTGTTCGTTTCTTTGGCTTACTATGTCCCCTTCTCTATGCTTGACATAACACTGCTTACTCTGAATAGGAACAGTATGCTGGGTCTGTAGGTATGCAACCGACCAAAATTAACCGCAAACTGTGAATGAACTTACTTATTTCAGGGCAGTGTCCTATATACACCATTGGCGCCTCTCCCCGCAGAGCTGTTTTGCCCTTCTCAAGATCCAACGCTGTGATCTTTGCCAACAAAGACAGAAGGAGTTACTTCCTGATGGCGGCTTTCATCTACGGAGAAAGTTCCATTGCTATAATTAGATGGGCAACAATGTCCTAAATGTGCAAAACCAGTGAGAACATATCAACCTTGCATCAAAGCTAATCCAACTTTGCTGAAGAAGAAGGGAAGGGAAGGGAAGGGAGGGAGGGAGGGAGGGAGGGAGGGAGGGAGGGAGGGAGGGAGGAAGGAAGGAAGGAAGGAAGGAAGGAAGGAAGGAAGGAAGGAAGGAAGGAAGGAAGGAAGACTACACCAGGAATACTACATCCAGTTTTGGTCACCACATTACAAAACAAATGTTTAGACTTTGGGGGGGAAATGCAAAGAAGAGCAACTAAGACTGCCTGAAGACAAAAACATATGAAGAATGTTTGCAGGAATTGGGTTTGGCTAGTCTAGAGAAAAGAAGGACTAGGGGTGACATGATACCAGTATTCCCGTATTTGAGGGGCTGCCCCAAAGAAGAGGGGGTCAACTTATTTTCCAAAGTACCAGAAAGCAGAACAAGAAACCACAGAAGAGAAGCAACCTAGAATTAATGAGAAACTTCCTAACAGTGAGAATAATTAACCAGTGGAATAGCTTGTCTTCAGAAGTTGTAGATGCTTCATCACTAGAGATTTTTAAGAAGAGACCTGTCTGAAATGGTATAGAAGCTGGACTAGAAGACCTCCAAGGTCACTTCCAGCTTTATTCTGGTGGATGGATGGATGGATGGAAGGAAGGAAGGAAGGAAAAATAGATGAGTGAAGAAGGAAGGAAGGAAGGAAGGAAGGAAGGAAGGAAGGAAGGAAGGAA